TATCAAATTATTGATTTATATTAACATTGGATTTTGATGGAATGGCTATGTAGAACGGATATACTTACATAGCTAAAGGTCGGTATTACTATCCATCTTTAGAGAGTAGATTTCGGACCAGAATGAGTCATTTAAATATTCTATATATTCTAGTCTGGCAGCTTTTGAGGATTAATCGATACTAGCTCATCATCTCAGATAAGTAATGACACTTCATATAATGAACGCATTTCTATCATCTTTAGAAACAAATTTTTTTAATATTTTTGATTAATTCTTTTGTAACTTTCCAATATATAAAATCTAACATTTTCAATACATTATATAGCAAAAAAAAAAATTAGAGCAATTATTTTATCATTTTATTATTTATATTTTGCATATACAAGTTCATATTTGACTCCATTTTTCATTAATTTTTCCAGATTCAAATACACGTTTTGTAAGATTAAAGTTTTGCTACAGTTTACCATAATCTGAAACAAAATAGCGTATATTGAAATGTTCCTAAAACTATGAGCTACAATTGAACCAAAATTTATTTTTGTTAGTTGAATATCTGATATAATCAATACTACGATCAGCGGAATAATATATCTAAACTTCCTAGATATAATATTTTCCCCTCCTTATTCCCCTTCCCAGAACACGTTTTCAAGTTCAATTAAAATGTTCATAATTTTTGGTTTTGGTATGGCTATGCTTTAGTTTATTTTTCATGAAAAAAATCGCAAACTGCGCTACAAGTTACAAGTTTTATAATTATTTTGTTTATCAATTTTAGTATTTTTTTTATCATTTTAAATAAGATAAGATGTGTGGCCTTATATCGAATACATGAATACAAATACATTTTTTTAGTTATCAGTAAATTAAATTGAAACTTTTTCCTATTATGCGTATCGTTTTTTCATTTTTGTTTGTTTTTCTTTTTATCATGATTATTATTATATTATATATGTTTATATAAATACTTTTAGTTTTCTTTTTTTCTTTTGCATTATCAACTATGTACAAAATCGCGACAACATTTATGCGTATATGTGTGTTTGATAAGTTCTATACGTGTAGAGAATCGATTTCGGGGTTCTTTCAATACTTAAAAGTATTTTGTCGCACTAGATATCTACAAAACTTAACGCTAAGTGATTACGAATAAGTTAAGATTTAGATTTAATTAGGAGGAAAATGAAAGGTTACCTTTGCTATTTTTGCTGCTGTTTGTGTTGATTTCATATACAATATTTTACACGGGCTGACAAATTCTTGTGTGTGCTTGATTGATGGAAACAAGGAAAAGGATTTGGCTGTTTAACATCGGGGCAGAGGGACAACAGGCTGAGAAGTCGAGGTGTTATAGTAGACCAGCAATTAAAACACCTCGGCTCTCATTTAGTGCGTACATTAAATAGTTATAAATAAATGTGCAGTACATATATTCATATATAGAAATAT